GTAGATGTAAAACTTATTATTATATCTGCTATTGAATTACTTTTCTGATTTAATGTCCAAGTAAGTTTATGTGATCTGATTTTTGTATCTTTCTTAGGGGGTATAGTAATAAAAAATTCATTTAAGTTCATATCTAATTTAAAATTATCATTGCTTGTATTTAAATAATTTTGTTTTAATTTTGTAATAGTAGTTTGAATTACAGAGTATATATTAAAAAATGAAGAAATCTAGTTTGAATATTTTGCTTAATTTGTAATTTCAAAAAGAATGTCTTTAAGAAAATAAAAAAATGCCAATGTTTGCTAATTGCAAAGATCTGAGTATAAATCAAAAATTAAATATTGAGTACTTTGATTTTTTGATTCTATCATAATATGAAGAAGTATATCAAGTAAAGGCTCTAATGAAGAACAAAAATTATCTACAGTTTTATAAAAATTTTTAGAATTTTTAAAGTAGGTTTGTTAAGAATTTCCTGATATTTGGATAAAATTTGAATTCATTTGTTGAAATTACTAAAAAAAGCATGTACTTGCTTTAATAATGTTTTTGCATATTTGCAAAATTTTATTTTTTTTTCAGTGGCTTCACAAGCTAATGCTAATCTATGTGCAATACAATGTGTGATAAATATATAAGGATTTATTTGAGCTATCTGTGTAGCTACTCCAGTAAGACTTCCTTGCATTATACTTGCACTATTAAATATAAATACAAAAATTTTATGCTGTATTCTATTAAAAATAAAAAAATAATTAAATATTTTATAATAAAAATAAAATCTAATTTAAAAACTTATTTTGAATAATAAATGGATTAATAATGGCATTATAAATTGATTTTGCATCATGATTTTTAAGTTGTAATAAACTTAAAAACTATACTTTAATAATACTATTAATAAGATATTTAACATAAATAATAATATGAGGCACTATAGCAATATTAGTACTTTCATCAACTATAATTCTTATAGTTGTTGCAAGATATAATTCTTTTCAAATATTCTCTTCGATTGCAATAGATATAAATGATAGTAATTCATATGCATAAGTATGGTTTTCATATGTAATTAAACTATCCTTAGAAATTAAATATAGAGCTTCAATAACCTGGCCATGCTGAGCTAATTCTTTAAATTTATTTAGCGAAATATCATTTTTAGCTATATAGTAGATAATTTTCATTAAGCTTATAATATGTTTAGGTGATATATTTAAGATTTCTTTTTTTTCCTCTAAATCAATATGATTCTTAGTTTTAGCATATTCTTTTAAAGCATAAAGTTTAAGGTTTGTAGAACCTAATCAAAGTATTTTAATAATTTATTTATAAAACGTATAACTAATGCTATATATTTATTATACTCACCACTTGTTGTAAAAACATTTTTTTTTACTAAAATCACAACATATAACACAAAATATTCAATTGTTTTGAGTATTATATTCAAGCCATGGATAAGTATTTTTCCAGCTTGGTTGAAATTTTCTATTAGCATGGTTAATATGTTGAGATGTTATTTTTGTAATATCTGATGACATTTAACTAGAAAATATTTACGTATACATTTTTTTAACAGCCATAAGTATGAATTTTAACGACCAAAGAACAGTAGCAAATTCTATAATTTCTATTCACTATTACTGGCTATAATATACATATAATATATTTTATTCGATAGTGATAGATCAAAAACGATACCTCAAACAATAGGCATCGGCACAGTAAATGGCCGGCAAATTACTATAGTATTTTCAGCCCTGTTTTAAAGGTCCGAAGAGTTGGTCTATAATGATGATAGCAAAAAAAAAAAAAAACATCGGTTTAAAACATGTGATTATAAACAACCAAGTTTCAAATTTTATAATTTGCGCACATAGACAGTGAACACGAATTTTATAAAGGGTAATAAAGAAGTAATAATCGTACTAAATGAGCGATTATAATTCACACATGCTTTATGATCTATATTGGAAATTTCTAAAGACTTTATAGTTGTTTACTATACAGTTCTTTTTTTTTTCTTATTAAAACAAATGTTTTGGCCTTATTTATTTTCGTTTTTACCACTGGTACTAAACACCAGTTCCGGAATATTAGTTCGGAAGGCTTAAAGCCAATCGAAATACAGTGATACTACCACCACTATTACGCAATTATAAGCATATTAAAAAAATACAATACAAACTAGCAAATATAATTTTATTATTAAATTATTTCTATTACCATAATATTTGTTATAGAATATTACAAAAGCACAATACATAACTAACATAACCCTTTTAATTATATATGTCATTACAATAGTTAGTAAGCACAATACCGAATAAAAACTAACATAACCTACCTGGGTCATTTGTTAACAATAATTTAAATACAGCAATCAGATTTTTTTTAACAAATAATGCGGAACTAATCTAAATCAAAACATCGCCGCAATGGTTAGTAAGCAAATATCCAAATTTTTTATCACAATATATTCAACATAATCCTACATGAATCGCTTGTTGTTAAATAATCCATAAGTACAGTAATCGAATTTTTTACAGAAAATTACAATAAACCTAATACAGAGCTGAATAACTTTATCTAAATCATAAATATTACCACAATAGTTAGTAAGCACAGTAACCAATTTTTTGCAGTAAAATCATGATAAATCAATATAAAATAACATAATCTTACCGAATCACGTCTGTCACCAAAATAATCCTCAGTAAGTACATTAATCAAATTATAGGAAATCATTGTACAAACCGCGACCAATGCAGAACTAACACAACTATACTTAAATCATAATTGTCATTACAATAGTTAGTAAACGTCTTTTTACAGCAAACACTTACAAATCACGACAAGTCTAATGCAAATAACATAACCTACCCGAATTATTTGGTCACCACAATAATCCGTCAGTGATCGAATTTTTCACTGAACAAATCGCGATAAATCTAGTACACACTTTATGCCACAGTATCCGAATTTTTATAGCAAATCACCATGATAAAACTAGTGATGCGGTAGAATCGTTCCAATGAAGTCCCAATGAATTTTTGAGATACGACAAATTGAGATACGGCTTATTTGTAGCTTAATAAAAAGTTACGACACGCCGTAACTTTTCATATCAAAAACTTCATTGGGACTTCATTGTGGCGACTCTACCGTATCACTAGATAAAACCAATACAAAACTAACATAGTCTTACCAGAAACATTTGTCACCATAATAATTGTCGTGGCTGATGCTGGAAACGGCTGATGCTGGAAATTTTAATTATTTTAATATGAAATTTACAAAACTTTTTGGGGCCTTTTGTTAGGGGGTTTTTTTTAGGGTTAGGTTAGGGTTTAGTGGTAGTTTTAATAATCAAAGAGTATAAGTAGATTTTGGTAGGGTTTTTATTTTTAAATCAAGGTCCCTAATTTCCAGCTTCAGCCGCGACAATAATTTTTACAGAAATCGCTGTACAAATCGCGCTAAGTTCAATACAGAACTAACATAACCTTACCTAAATCACAAATATCACCACCGATAGTTAGTAACAGAATTTTTTTACAGAAAATTGCTATAAAAATCACGATAAATTTAAATAAAAACTAACTTAGCTACCTGAATCATTTTCGCCGCGATAATCCGTAAGTGAAGTAATCGAGTTTTTTACAGCAAATAAATCACTGTGCAAATCGCGTTAAGTTCAATCCAGTACTAATATAACTATATCAAAATTACAAATATAACCACTAATAGTTAGTAAGCACAGTAACCGAATTTTTTTTTTTTACAGAAAACCGCTATACAAATTACAGTAAATTTAAATAAAAACTACATAGCCACCTGAATCATTTTCACCACAATAATACGTAAGTACGGTAATCGAGTTTTTACAACAAATCATTGTACAAATCGCGTTAAGTTCAATGCAGAACAAATGTCACCATCAATAGTTAGTAAGCACAGTAACTGAATTTTGTTACAGCATATCACTATACAAAAACTAACCTGGAATTAATTGTCGCCACAATAATCCGTAAGCATTATGATCGAATTTTTTACAGCAAATCATTGTACGAAATCGTGATAAATTCAACACATAACTAATATAACCCTACCTAAATCACACTAATGTTAGTAAGCGCAGTAACCAAATTTTTTCGCAGCAAATTACTGTACAAATCATGGTAAAAATTAACATAACCCACCTGAATCATTTGTCGCCACAATAATCCATAAGTACGGTAATCAAATATTTTACAGCAACAAACCGCGTTAAGAACTAAACCTAAATCACCACCATAATTAGTAAGCACAATAACCGAATTTTTTACATACAAATCACGGTAAATCCAATACACATTAACATTACTCTACCTGGATCATTTATTACTATGATAATCCGTAAATACAATAATACCCTACTATAGCAGATTCCAAAGCCATTTTATTATTCAAATTGCCACCTCCAACAGAATATAAAACCACTCAACCTTTTGTTGAGTATAGTTAAAAATCCATTTGATTGGCTAATCAGCACATCAATTTTTTATAATACTCAAATAAGAAAACGTTCACCTTTGCTTATATAAGAACTGTGTTACATTACATACAAACCGTTAACGAAACTTTATGACAACCTTAACGTCTTGCTTCTTTACCAACAGAATAATTTAATCAGGTATAATCATATTCACTAGCGACTTCTACTATGACAGTATTTTGTAAAAAATACTAATTTTATATGTTTAATGAAATTCTACTCTCGTTGTTCTAAGTCAAGGAACTTATATACGCTTTGATCTTTTACCTGTTTGCTTGCTGGTAAATTTAATCAGATCTTGCTTGTTAATTCTGAAATTGTATATTAGTTTACTATTAATATTTTCGCACACATTTTGACTATAAAATTAGGTTAGGGTTCCCGTAAAATCCTGTGAAATAGTAACTCGAACAAAAAAATTTAGCTATACGGTAAATAATCTATTAATAAATTTTTATTACCAATTATTCATTTCATTAATTTTGTTTTGCAATTCCAATTCTAAATTTTCTCTTTCATTCATATTTAGTCGATTACCATCCTCCTCTTCTAAATCGTTCTTGTCTGTGGTGTCATCTTCATCATCCTCATCATCTTTTAAATCGTCAATGCTAATATTTTTTTCTGAATTTAAACATTCTAGAAATGCATTGACATTACGCCATATGCCATCTTTATAAAAATTTAAGCAGTATTGACATTTTTCCTCCATTTTTTTGTAGCATTCTATATGATACCCATGCCACAGACCAAGACAATTTCGTTATTATTAGCGGATAATAATTGATGACAGCGATCACAACCATTATACGAAGAAGGAAATGGAGTACTGTATCCAGCTGGCATACTTGTTATATTTATCTCTCCTAGAGTAGGAAGATCGTAAGTGGTGCGCTTTTTTTTTTTGGACCGCTGCTTTTTTGAAGAAATGTCGTTACTAATTAAAATTGTTTCTTCATTTTTTCTATAAATTTCTTGAAATTGAGATAAGAGAAAGAGACAAGTCTTATCAGTTAAAAATTTCAAATCCCGCGACGAATATGGGTAGCGATATGTTGTTGAAAACATTTCGCGGAAGACTGAATATTTATGGTAGTCCAAAATGTAAGCCTGTTTTAGTATATTATCGGCACTGTCATTTGGTGATGTTGTAGCCCATATTCTGCTATGCATATTTTCTACCCAATAGTCATTAAATTGAACTAAATGCTTTTCTATTGCCTCTCTCATTGGGTGCTTATTCTTTTTCCAATAAAATATATCTGATAAAAATGCAAGTGGAGCTTTATTATAATTTTTATGCTCCCAACGTAGAGCAAAGGTCCAAATACGAAAAATTGTTTCTACATAATCGTTGAATGAACCAGACCGAAATAGCAAGGCATATACATCAAGAGCCGCTGGTACAAGGTTGTCTAGAAGTTCAGTAATAGTCTGATATTCAATATTTTTTTTAAGATAAGTAAATTTTGTTATTATATTTTCTTTAATTTTAACCCATGCGGAGAATGCTAAGTTTAATAAAAGGTTTATTCTTCATGGTCTAGGTTTTTTTGCAAGAATTTTTCGTTCTCCAAACACAGCATGAAAAAGCTTTTCAAAAAATGGGTAATAAAGCTTTTATAACATGTTCTCTTGTATTAAGAGAAACATGTAGTGGCCCGAGAAAAGGAACAAAAGATGTTACTTCAGGTTGCACTAATGAATTTTTATTTCCGTTACTTAGATATGTAAGTGCTTTGCGGATAAAAAGTTGACCCGGCCAATCCGCAACAATTGGCGCCACGTTACCAGTAAGATAATTTGTTTTTTTGTTATAATATAAGATTATATTTAATGCTTTTAAATAATCATGTAAAGAATGAAGTTGCTGTTCCTGCATTCCGACTAAAATTGCATCTTTCATTTTGCGTTCTTCTTTATGCTCCATAATAGCATTATCATACGAATGTATTGTAAGTTGATCAACTTTGTCAAATTCAACTAAATTAGAATTATTCCATTGAGCTTTTCGTTGCAAATATGACAAGTCGAAGTATTGCTGATACTTATTTATCAGCTTTTCACAAATAATCGAAGCCTCAATATTATTTGGATTATGAACAGATATTCTATTAAATATTATTGGTACTGGAAGAGCCTCGACTTTTTTACATACGCTTGTCGCAAAATAAAAGGCATCTGAAAGGAAAGTATTATTGGGTTGTCGTTTTTTATGTATATTATGATAGTCGTCCAGGTTATAAATGCAAAGATTTTTTTCATTATTATTAAAATATTTTTCTATTCTTAGTGGATGCTCACTAGCAATCTTTTTTTTATAATTATGAACAGTTTGGTAAGTAACAGAAATTCCAGCATTATTTAGTGCATTAATTGCATTGCATGATGTTCCTGATCCCGCAAGATATAAGGCTAGTTCTAACTTGAAACTATTGGCATGCTTATTCCGCAATCCAGCCATCAAATACAAGATTACAACTATTCGTTTTTTATCCTCATTTTGGTTATAAGGTGAACGATCATTTGGTATTAATATGTTACACATTTCAAGAAAAAAACCTTTTAGGCCTGAGTTCGCATTTTCAAGAATTTCATTAAATTCCTTTGGGTCAAGTACAAGATTTTCTTGTCTTATTTTATACAAAACAGTCGTCATCCTTTTAATTTGATCTCCAAGTGATAATTTATTTGGTAAGTTTGAAATAGGCTTATCTTTACTAATTGGCTCATTCTCAACAATAACCGTAGGTGAATTTTTATGAGTTGGTTCATTTTCAACAATAATCATATAATGAGAGTTACAGAGTTGTTGACCTGGCGTAAGTATGAATACTGTTGAATAGTACTATTCGCGATTGCTTTTTTCATAGCCAATTGAGTTAAGCACCGAAAGACATTTGGATCTTTATCACAATTTTTAACGGAGCA